AATTAATATTGACAATTTAATTCTAAAAATGATCACATGAATAGAAGTCAATAACTTTTGTTTTTCTGTTTATGTTTACCTTTAAATTATACTTAAACCTGATAAGTCAAGAAAAACACTTTACCCTTTATTTTTCAAGTTTTCACATTACTTTTTACATTACTAATTTTCAAATTTTTATATTACCTTTTCATTGAAAAAAAACACAAAACAATTAAAAATAACAAATTTTTCATTAAATTAGAAAGGATCATTTTGTTTTCAAAGTTTTTATTCCATTTTCATAATAAAAAACCATGACTCCAAGGAAAAATTGTTTCCTAGGAATCAATGTGTTAATGTACATAGTATTCATTGGGTCATTTTTCATCCTATACCTCTTTCCCATCCTCCTACCCTACCAAGTCTCCAGTGTCTGAGTCTCCAGTGTCTATTATTCTATTCTCTATGTCCATATGTACTCATTATTTTACTCCCACTTGTAAGTGAGAACATGTGGTATTTAACTTTCTGTGTCCAGTTGTTTCACTTAAGATAATGGTCTCCATCCATGTTGCTACAATAGACATGATTTCATTCTTTTTTATAGCTGAGTAATATTCTACGGGGTGTGTGTGTGTGTGTGTGTGTGTGTGTGTGTACACCACATTTGTCCAGTCATCAGTTGATTGACACACATGTTGATTCTGTAGCTTTGCTATTGTGAATAATGCTGCAATAAACATACAAGTACAGGTGGTATCTTTTTTATAGAATGATTCCTTTTTCTTTGGGTAAGTACCCAGTAGTGAGATTGCTGGGTCAGATGGTAGTCCTATTTTTAGTTCTTTGAGAAACCTCCATATTGTTTTACATAGAGGTTGTACTAATTTACATTCCTACCAACAGTGCATAAGTGTTCCATTTTCTCTCCTCGCCAACATCTGTTTTTTGACTTTTTGACAATGCCCGTTCTGACTGTTGTAAGATGGTGTCTCATTGTGGTTTTAATTTGCATTTCTCTGATGTTTAGTGATGCCGAGCATTTTTTCATGTTTGTTCGCTATTCATATGTCTTCTTTTGAAAAATGTTCATATCCTTTGCTCACCTTTAGTGAGGTTATTTTTTTTTTCTTGTTGAGTTGTTTGAGTTCCTTGTAGATTCTAGACATTAGCCTTGCGGTTCCCAATCCCCCCAGGCCAAGGACCGGTACCAGTCTGTGGCCTGTTAGGAACCAGACTGCACAACAAGAAGTGACCGGTGGGTGAGCAAGCAAAGCTTCATCTGTATTGATAGCCACTCCCCATCACTCGCATCACTCCCTGAGCTCCGCCTCTCCCCTTGCCGCCACCTCCCCAATCCTCCACCCCTGGTCCCTGGAAAAATTGTCTTCCATGAAACCCGTCCCTGGTGCCAAAAAGGTTGGGGATTGCTGCATTAGCCCTTTATAGGTTGCATAGTTTACAAATATTTTTCTCCCATTATGCAGATTGTGTGTTTACTCTGTTGATTATTTCTGTTGCTGTACAGAAGCTTTTTAGTTTAATTAGGTCCCATTTGTCTATTTTTATTTATGTCGCATTTGCTTTTGGGGTCTTAATCATAAAGGCCAATATCCAGACTTTCTATATTAATATTTTTCTTAAGACAAAGAGATAATTGAATGTAGGAAAATTTTTGTTTTCCTCTTTAAATTTTTCCATATTTAAAAACACTTAATTTTTTTCTTTCAAAATTTGATCAATCTAGAGTAAGATTGAGGTGCATTCCAAAAGTCACTACATGGGAAAGTTAAATAACTTTTACCTTTATCAGTTTGTAAATGAATATTTTAACTGAATCTTCTTAATGAACTCTAGGTTCATAAACATTTTTAATGTTCTTTAGTGAAAAGTTAAAAACTGAGAAGTAATTTGACTGTGTTAAGTCTTTGTTAGCTTTCGAAAGTGACAGCCACAAAGTAATATTTAACTTCTTTATATTATCCTGTGTTATCCACAGAATTTATACGTAGGATTTTAATCTTTTTCAGGGTAATGGCAGATGAGCTAACCAACTCCAGAGCAGCTTTGCAGCGTCAGACCCGTGATGCACACGGCGCCATACAAGATCTCTTGAGTGAACGGGAGCAGTTTCGTCAGGAAATGATAGCTACCCAGAAGTATGGTACTTGTTTATATTCTGAACTCCTCTGCTTTCTCCTGCAGCTTTCGTTATTGTGATAGTTTTTTTAGTGTGTCTACATTTGATAACTTA